GCCTCTCTCTATATCCTTCTTTACATCTCTCTCTCCCTCTTCCCTTGTCTACATATTATTCTTTTAACTCTCTTTTCCTTTTCGTCTGCTCGTTCTCTCTCTCTCTCTGACAATCAATTTCTCTTTATCCTACACACATAATTTTGGAACTTTATATTATGTATTGTTAATTTTTTTTTTAACAATTTAAAATTACGTGGTTTCGAACAAATGACAAATTTGATGAGTATTCTGATGACTATGCTTAAGCCCTCAAGGCTGAATTTGAAGAAAATTAATCGAAAAATCCATTTCATCATCATCATCATCGCCACCAGCAGCAGCAGCAGCAGCATCACACTCGCCATCATCAAAATCTGTTGTCTCCTGTTGTCTCTTAACTGGGAGTTATTAGAAATCTCTTCGTCCTACAACGGACATAAGAGAGTAGAAAGCATGTTTTGCGCCATTTTGCCAAAAACGAATGACCTCTCTAACGTTAAAATTAGATTTTCAAAGAATGACCTTTCACCGAGTTGAAAAAGTATCCAATATCGTCATTGGAAATACTATTGTCTATTATTATCAGGTTCAGTTAAAGGTCATTACCATTTTTTTTTAGAAAACAATGGTAATGACGTAATATATAATCGTAACTACTAATCATATGCACCAGTTAAGAATAAATTTAGAGTAAAATTATATGTTATACGTTATATTATATAATTATATGTTACATGTTGTAGTGAAAGAGATAATCAAATACCTCGAAAAAGAGATTGTGTTTTCTGTGCGATCTGCCGAAGAAAAATTACCGAAAATAGTTAGCAACACTCTACTATTTCAAGTATCAGAATCTATGCCAATGTCCTTTCCTCTCCTGTACCGTGTGGCTCGATAAATAAAAGCCGTTGTTTTTCGCTTACGAGGCACGAATTTTCTGAACTTGGCTGACGAACACGCGTTTTTGCTGGTGAGAAGGGAAGTTTGGATTTGTGACCCTATTTTTGTTGTTTGGACTGTTATTACGGACTATCGTTTGAACTGTGATTTAGTTACAAGTATGATGGTCAATAGAAGAAACCTATTGTAGGCGTTTATTGCTTTAGCAAGTTTATATTTTATTTCTTTTCTTTACCACAACTCATGTTATATGTTATATTCTAAAATTATATGTTATATGTTAGATTCTGCATGACATTGGCAACGTACATGGTGGATTAAAGAAAAAACTCCATAACAACGTAAGAAGAAGAAAGATTAACAGAATTAAGTTAGTCTGTTCTACCCAACCCGCTTTATTAACGTGACTTTACACTAACCGGTTATTGCCTTTTTTTGATCTTTGCAAAACACTTTCATAGGGACAGATTTATCCAACGACAACCAGATTGAAGCGTTCTTTGAAAAGTTCTCACATTATAATCTGCGGACTTTGTTTTATAAGCTGCCGAATAAATTCTTGATTGGCAGTAACAAGACATTGCAAATAACGGTGACTACATAATCGAATAAAAGATAATTCAACTTTATTTTTTGAACATTTCGGTTGATAAATAATCGCACGAATTATTTATACACAACCTAATGTTTCCTTGGGTTGAATTGCTCTTTGTTAAAATCTGTTTCCAAGTATCCCACCTAAGACGTACTTAGCAACAAGAAGGAGCCATGCATTAGTACAAATTATATATATATATATATATATATATATATATATATATATGATCGAAATAAAAGTATAAAACTTAATTCTAATTTCTAATTTTCTTTTTTCTTCCTTTTATTGACATTTTAATGTATTAATTTTAAATCTCCTGTTGACGCCCGAAGAGCGGGAGCGAAACCGGTTGTTTCGCCTGTTTTTAATATGTCTCGTAATATTAAGTTTTATACTTTTATTTCGATCATTAAATTTTGTACCAACAAATATATCTTTATATATATATATATATATATATATATATATATATATATATATATATATATATATATATATATGATTATTTGGTTTGATTGATGTAGTTTGTGACCCTGGGTTTACAGCTGACGATTGCAAAAGCGTAAAAGCCAGAGTCACAAACTCACATTAAATCCAACTAAAATGTGTTAGCTCAATCTCTGATATTGAGCACTTTCTAATAAAAGTACTTTCGCATATAATATATAAATAATTATATATATATATATATATATATATATATATATATATATATATATATATATATATATATATATATATATATACACTTTTCACATATATATATGATTAAAGGTTTTTTGTGATGCGTTTCATCCGTTAAGATTTCATCGGACTGGGCTTTGTTGACGTTGCCACTTCTGCACATGCGCACGAAACGAGAGACGCAGAAAGTTTCAAAATTTTTTGAAAGAATATTTTTGAGAGAATATTTTTTCTAAATCTAGCCGAAATCATCTGTATTCTTTTTCTCTCCATCACCTTTATCCCACACTATGACAAGACAATCTATGTTAATCTACCAAGAATGTCTAAGACAATCTACCAAGAATGCTGATATATTGCCTAGATGCAAATTTATTGTGGCTGAACTAGAGATCAAGGAACTTTCCCGACATTTTCGTCTCAGTAGATTATTTTCTCTTATAATCAAATTAGCCTCCCCTATCTCAAAATTGTTGTTCGTTTTATTACGGTGAGCAACCAATGCGTTTTGTGTTGTTATTTAAAATGTCCCATTCGCGTTCATATAGTCTAGTGAGGTTTCTCAAATGTATTAATTCTGGCAATTCCTGCATTTGATAGAGTAAATTATTCCTTCAAGTATTGCATGGTTGTTTTTATTTTTATTGATTAAGTCTTTGGTTGTCTTTAATGTTGTGACAAAATTTATGTTAAGCTTTGATGAATTCTTTTCGGTTGAAGTTGTGATAGAGTTACTATGGAAAAAAAACAAAAATTTTTTTTTTTTATTTGTTAGATTTTTCAAAATACTCTTTGTTGATATATAAATTATATATCGCTATATCATACATAGTCATCCACAGACTGTTTCGCTGTTTCATAGCTCATGAGTTTGGCTAGATATTGAAACCGGACATATTTGACATCAGATTTTCCCTTTAAGCCATCAACACACGGTTGGAAGGCGATTTTTTATGGATTTCCTCTGTGGATTAACACGCCAATGACTGACAGTGCTCAATTCAGGGAGAGTTTGTAATATTAGTACACAGCCTAATTTGAAGTTTTTTATATATATATATATATATATATATATATATATATATATATATATATATATATATATATAATTAATGACACAGGGTCATTAAAAGGTAAGTATGCCGATAACTACTCCATAATTTCTCGAACTAATCTTAATTGTTTTATAACCCTTCACGCAGAACTGTTCCCTGCCAGTTCAAGAAAGACGTTTGGATCTCTAACACAAAAAAAGAAAATGTCTCATATCGAAAATATTTAACATCGAAAAACATAAAGAAAAAAATGAATTATTTTTAATAATATGTGGAAATCTTCACCTGATGACGGTCGCGAGACCGGAAACGCATGTAGCAAAATTATGAAAAATAAAACATAATATATTTTTTTTAATCCACATTACAACCAAAAACGTTTGCGGCTTCTCTCTTCTTTTTATTATACACACTTTTCTCTCGTTGGAACTAATATAAACTGTTCCTTATATATATATATATATATATATATATATATATATATATATATAAAAGTGAACATAGAAGTCAACATATAGAGGTGACAGTCTGTTTCATGCTATATATTTTCCACCTGACGATTGCATATATATGAAACAGACTGTCGCCTCTATGTTGACATCTATGTTCACTTTTTATTTTATATATTATTTACACGCTCTATCTCTGATATTGAGCACTTTATTCCATAAATATAGCATACCATAAGACTATATTTCTTTATATATATATATATATATATATATATATATATATATATATATATATGAAATGACAGGGCATATATAGGTGATTATTATTATTATTTTTTTTAATTTTTTTTTGTGATTGTAGTTATTGTTGTTACTGTTGTATATTTCCGCCTGATTGAGCTGTTAATAATACTAAAATAGCACGAAGATTTGATGCGAGATTTACATTGAGATCAAGTTTGGTATTTTTCTCTTTTCTTACTAGGTAAATGGCTACAGGTTTCTTAAGTTTTCATCGTAAAATTCAGGCACAATGAAACGAATGCAAGCCAAAACCTCACAAAGAGGCTTAATGGAATTTACGTTTGTTCCCAAGAGACTTTTATTTGTTATTGTTCTCTAAAGGACACGGACCTCTTCATTTCTTCGACCTTCCACTCCCGATATTCATACTCTCCCTGCCTATGTCTCTCTCTTTGCAACCCTCTCTCTTCTCTTATTCCCCCCTCTCTCTCTTTATCTCTTTATAGTGTGCTATTTTCTCCTTTTGATATGTTTTCTCTTTTTATTTATTAATTTCCATTTCTTTTATTTTTTTATTCTTTTTATATAACCATTTTCCAGTGCATCGTTAACAACCCTACTTATTTACTTTCCTGTTTAAGTAATTTCTTTTATTAATCTTGTATATCTTCTGCTTTCTTCCATTTCATTTGCCATTTTTCTTTTTTGTCCATTTTTCCCTTCGCCATCATTCAAGTTTTTTTCATTTCTCATTTTCTTTTCTTTGTTTCTCTTTCACTCTTTGCATTTTCTTCAACTATTTTTATACGTTTCTTTTACTTCATTTCATCACTGTTTAATTTAATTTTTTTTTCATCTTTACTTTCGTATCTGCCCAGATATCCTCGAAATATCCTTCCAGATTACAATTTTTTTTATTCGTATCTTTCCTTCAATTCTATTGCTTTCTCTTCTGTCATCCGAGGTTTTTTCTCTTGCACTCATTTTACTGATTTTATTTATTTCAAAACGTTTTCTACGTCACTTTAAACCTTCATTTGCTTTCCTTCTAATTTATGCATATTGTAATGTGCCTTCCATTTTTCTATGAATTTCTTTCATTCTTTTATTCTTTCTTTCTTTCTTTCTTTCTTTCTTTCTTTCTTTCTTTTCTTTCTTTCTTTTTTCTCTCTTTCTTTATTTCTTTTTCTCTCTTTCTTTATTTCTTTTTCTTTCTTTCTTTCTTTTTCTTTCTTTCTTTATTTTTCTTTTCTTTCGTCTCCTTGATTTTCTAACTGTTTTCCTTTTTTTTACGTGTTTTTACTATTCGTCCATCATCGCAATGTTGTTCTGATCTGTCTTTCAAGCATTTCCGTATTTCTGACTTTCTCTTTTTTTCACCACAATTATTATTATTATTATCATCATTATTATTATTATTATTATTGTTGTTGTTGTTGTTGTTGTTTTATTTCTTTTGGTTTCTGGTGTCTACTCATTTTTTTCCGGTCCCCAACCAGAGACCTAAGGTCAGAAATGACACCATGACATTTTCCACTGAGTAGTTTTGAAAAAAAATGCATATATTTTACATAGATAAATCACTTCGCAAGGTGTTGGTTGTACTTGTGAAAAAAAATTGTATTTCTTTATGGCATGGGCTACCAGGGGTTATTTCAATGAATCTGTTGGAATCTTTTCTAATCATTCCGAGAGCTCCAACTACAACTGGAATTTTTAATGTCCTCATATGCCACATTTTTGAGATTTCGATTTTAAAGTCCTTATATTATGAAAGTTTTTTTGAAGATCTTCAAAGATACATTGCAGTCCTCAGGGACTGCCATGTTGATAAGGACGCTCATTTTGTCTTTGCGGGTCTCTAATCACGTTGTCATGGCGATTAGCTTTGATCCTTCTGTCTGTGTGCATTGTAAAGTCCCATAAATTTGTTACAAGCCCCATCTCTGTAAACTGGTCTGGGTGGTGTTTTTGCCAATTATTATTAGTAGTAGTATTAGTAGTATTATTATTATTTGTGTGTTGTGTTTCCTGCTTTGTATCCTGTAGAGCCGGGTCCAGACTATGGTGTTTAAGTCCTAAAGAAGAATTGTCAATTAAATGATAGCAATTTTCTTATTATTTGAGATCTTCCTAGAAGAGTGATATTCCGGGTAACTTGTAAGTTGATGTTACTAAATGGACACTGTTATTAAAATTATCCATTTCTTTTCTCACGGGTCCCAGTGCTCCGATTACTACTGGTACAGTGTCAGTCTACCTTCCCCACATCCTGTTAATCTCGAAATCTAGGTCCTTGTTTTGGGACAATTTCGGGATAATTTTTATGGAGTTGTTTCTGACAGATGGTAATATTATGTCAATAAGCATACACTTCCTTAATTTCTCGTCTTTTATGATAATATCAGGTCTGCTTGCATTTATTTCTCTGTCAGTTTGAAGTAGCATATCCCAGAGGATAGTTACATCGTTATTTTGGGTAACTGTGTCTTGTTGGTGGTCATAACGTCGATCATTGGTTTCGATTTTGTGCTTCTTCCAGTGCACATATGTCGCTACCTAGTTATGTCTCTTGGTATATTCATTTTTTGCTAGTTCCGAATATCCTGAGATAATATAGTCGACAGTTTCATCATATTTTTTTGTAATTTCATTTGGCCATGTTGTTTTGCTTTCTACTTTATTCGTTTGACATAGAGGTATTTGCTTCGTTTTTTGTTGGTAGGTTTTCAGGTATATTAAACTGTTTCTTGAAGAGTGCAGCTTCTTTATTTATGGAGTAGATTTGGTATTTGACAATTTGTAGAAAATGTTCATTGATTTTTATGTGGCGGGCTTCCAATCCGATTTTGTGGGTTAATCAGAGTTGAATTAGATCTCGTCCTCCTAAAGTTCTTGATACGTACAGCCTATCAACATCTGATTTCAGGTGGTGCATTCTCAACTGAGTAAGTATTTTTCTCATCTTGTCCAATCTCTTAATGCCATTCAACTTCCATTTAATAATTTTTAAGTTGTAAGTTATCATTTTTAAGTGTAGCTAAGGTGTTGACAGCTTTCTATTTGCTGACCCCATTAATTTTGTTTTTCAGTATGAAACACACTCTCCTATAATATTCTTTTCGGATCGTATTCTTCATAATCGAATGTTGTATACCTTCTCTTTCATTAATTCCTAAGTATTTGCATGTACCATGTTGGCCTAGTTCCTTAATCTTGTTGTTGATAAGGTCTAAATCTGTAGTCTTCGTTTACCGCCTTTGATTGTGGCTTTGGCATATTTGTCGATTTAGAATTCCATCCTAATATCTTCGCTGAAGATTTTGAGAATGGCATTATTTTGGGGGTTGTTATCCTTGGCAAATGTTTTAAGATCCTCAATATAAAGGAGGTCATTACGTTTGCCATTCTGTTACTGGTATCCGTAGCTACTTTTGTCCAGTAGGCAGTTGAGTGGCGCTAGTGCAAGGCAGAAGAGTAGTGATGACAATGAATCTCCTTGGAAGATTCCGCTTATGATGTTGATTGGACTCGATGTTAACGAACCGTTTGTATGGTTTAAGTTTAGTGTAGTCTTCCAGTTTTTCGTGCTCTCCGTTACGAATTTAACCGATACGGGGTATACTCTGTATATTTTTAGGATCTTCTCTATCCCTGAATGTAGTACACTGTCTAACGTCTTTCTGTAGTTGGCACATGCTATCGATAATTTCCTTTTCGTTGTTTTCACTTTTTCCAATATTGTTTATTGACAATTCATTGTTGCCGTAACTTCTTTTTTAAATCTCTTCTGTTCTGCTGGAAGTAAACTGTTTTTCTCAAGGAAGGTGAATGTCCTCTCGGTTATGATAGAAGTTAGGATCTTATACATTGTTGGTAGGCAGGTAATGGGTCTATAGTTCTTCATGTTCTGCGTCTCTTCTATTTTGGGAAGTAAGTATGTTACTCTCCACATGGACCATTTAGGGCATTTTTATGGGTTTATGGTTGTATCATTGTATACTCGTGCGAGGTCTTGGTAAGTACTAGATACGATTTTACCCAAACTTTGGCTATTCGGTCTATTCCTGGAGCTTTTGGGCTTTGCAGATAGCATCGGTTGTTTCCGTAATATTGATATCCGTCCATTTTTGGCATTCTATATATGTGTGCTGTTCTTGTTGTTGCTTGATACATGTAGACCTTTCATTGTTCATTTTGCAGTTTTCCACATCATATACCAGAACTCCTCAACTTCGTTGATATTAGGTGTGTTTTCTTTACCCAGGTCTCGATATATTTTCTTGACATCAAAGATATTATTTTGTCAGAAGAATCTGTTTCTTTTATCATAGCGCCTGATTCTCTGTGCCTTCACTTGAATTTGTTTTTTCAGCTTCTCTTTAACTTTTGCTACGTCAATCTTATTCCTGATGTCAAGGCTTCGTTTCATTTATCTCCTTTTATTTCTTTCATTTTGCCGTCTTTGTCTGCTATACGTAAAAGTGTCAATTGTCCTCGTATTTTATTTCGGTTTCCTTTTTTCTTTCCAGACTGGCATTTTCTTTTTTCGTTTGCATTGTGTTTTTATATTTCACCTATTGTTTTACGATCGCTGCCGAGGCCGCGTATATAAGATGATTAATTTCTGTCAGAAATATTGATCTTTCCATTTCGTTCCTTATTTTTCTAATTGCTTGATTAGCGAGGTAGATGGTTTCCTTTACTTGGCGTTTCTTTCTCACTTTTGGAATTGTTGGCCTTTCCTCGAAGGACATTTACTTTACATTCTCCCATTTATGTCGGATATATTTGTCTTCTCTGTTTGCGTCTCATATTTTTCATTATCTTCCTCTATTTGCTTGTGTACCACAGAGGGATTATTAGAGCTGGTTTCTATTTGTTCCTCTGCATATGTCTCCTCTAGGCTGTTGCCATTTAGCCCCTTTATGTTAACGTTTAATCTATATTTAATGATTTCTCGGATGCTTCTCGAGTTTTATATTAGTTATTCTTTTTTTTTCCTGGTGATGTCACGCCTACATTGGCTAGGTTGTTGGCATCGATTTTTAGTCTGTTTGATGGATGCATTTCTCGATAGATATTATAGGCGGTTTTGATCGGTGTTGTTGTCGGATTTATCGTAGCAGTGTAAAATGCTATAATTGCTACAATATACTCTTTCCTAGACCATTTTCTATTGTTCATTTTGTGGGATTTTCTTTTAATGACTATATAGAGCCTCTCTGAGGACTGGCCTCGGCGTGGTTTTCCTCTAGTTTTTGTTGGGTAGAATTTGTGCTAGTTACAGACTTTTCGATTCTATTCTACTTCCTCACTGGGGACCGTGGTCCATGTTGATTCGTATGTGACCGATACGGTTTAGCAATATTTTTCTTTGTGTCAGCATTACAATCAGTTCGTATTTACCGATACGTGGGGGATGGTTCGTGGACACCAGAGCATATCCATAACATGGTGGGCAATCAGATTCAGGGGGCCAGGTCCCCTACTGCTATTTTTTTTGTACTATTACTATTATTAACAACAACAGTAACATCTTCATTTATAAGTGTTGGCATCCCAACAAGACTCCGACGTAATTCAATTTTCAACGGAATTTTCATTGACTGTTTCTCTTTTTCTCTCATATGTTCAATAATAGGAAACTATATTCAAATCACCGAGATACTGTTGTTATTATTATTATTATTATTATTATTATTCCCTTGAGCTTATTTCTAATAATTTCTTTATTTAAATTATTTTCTTTTTTTCCGTCATTTTTTAATCGGGTGGCTTTTCTCAAGATTTTTTTTTTCTCTTTTTCTTTTCTGTTTCTTTTTTTTTCTTTTCCTCTTCAATTCCTTTCCATTTTGTTCTTTCTTTTTTTTATTATTATTATTAGAATTTTTTAAAATGTCCTCCGGTTTATTTTACTTGATTCCTTTTCTTCTTCATTTCATTTATTCTTTCATTTCTTTGTTGCGTTTTCTTTCCTTTTTTTCATGTGTCGTGTTTTATTTTTACTTTTTTTTCTTTGACGTTTCTTCTTATTCTTCACTATTTATTATTTTTTTTGCTATCATCATTCCCCTTTTACAAAGTTTCGTTTTTTTTCGTTTTCCCTCTTTGTTTTTCGCTCTTCTCTTTATTCCTCTATTAACTAATGCTTTTTTTATTTCTCTGCCTTGATTTTTTCATCCTTTCTTTTTCCTTTTACTTTCTTTCTTTCTTTTCTTTTCAGTATTTCTTTTACGTGCTCTTTCTTTCCTTTAGAGCGTTTCTTTTTCTTTTTCAGCTTCTATTATGTTTTTTTTTTTTTGTTTTTCCGTTGCTTTTTTTATATATCCATGTTTCCATTCTTTTTTCCTATTTCTCCCTTTCTTTTTCGTTTTATCTTTCATTTCTTTTTGCTATTCCTTGCTCGGTCTCTCCACTTCCTTTAAATTGTTTTTGTTTGTCTTCTTTTTATCTCCCATTATTTTATATTTTCGTCGTTTAATAGTTTTTCGTCCTTTTCTTCTATTTCTCTCATTCTTTTTTTTAATTCTTTATTTTCCTTCCTTTTCTCTTCCCTGTATAATTTTCCTTCTCCATATTTCTTGATTCTTATCCCTCCCTCTTTTTATTCATTTTTTTCTTTCTTTTTCTTTTTTCCCTTCTTGCTCTTACTTCTTTTTATTCAGCATTGTTTCTTTCTTTTTTCGTCACTTCCTTTTACGAGGTTTTTTCATCCTTTTTCTCTTCTCCCCTTTCTTTTAAATGCAAAGCAACAATGCGTATTGATGCCAATAGGAGAGAGGGGGAAAAGCGATTTTTACACGCAACACTGTAACTCAGTTCAGTTATTGAATAATACCCAACTAATGACTCCCTGTGAAATTTTGTCCACTGATCTTTGAAACCATTTTTGTTAAAGTTCTTTCCTGGGGCAAAAGTTTTAACAATGAGTTGGCAAGAGAAATGACAAGAAAGCAAAAAAGTCGATAGAAAGAACATTCGATGGAAAAGGCGAAAGAATAATGAAATGTTGAAAGACAAATACGAGATATAGAGGTGTTTCAAGCATATAGCCAGATAACGAAGACAAATAAGAAGGCTGAGGTAAAACAAAAATGGCGTATCGTGCTAAAGAAAAGAAATGGAATAGAATAAGTAAAAAAGCGGGAAGAACAACGAATAGGAAAGAAAGGTAAATAAACGTGGGAAATATCTTTGGAAACAGAAAAGACGAAGGAAAATTGAAACAAAACGTTTCATTGCAATTGGAGAAGAATTAGAAGAAGATTATGATGACTCATTATTATGATGAAGAAGGAAATGACAAAGAAAAAGATGATGATGATGAATATGATGATAATAATAATGATAATTATTATTATTATTATTATGAAGATGATGAGGAGGCGAGGAAGATGATGAAAAAGAAGATGATGTTGAAGAAATAGAAGATAACGGATGATGATGATGATGATGATGAATTATATGAAGAAGGAAAAGAAGAATAAAATTTAGAAGACTAAGTTTTAGAATAAGAATATTTAGAAGAAGAAGACGAAGAAGAAGTAGAAGAAAAAGAAGAAGTAAAAGAAAATCATGATCATCATCATCATGTTGATGACGACGACGATGATGATGATGATGATGAAGAAGAAGAAGTATATGAAGAAAGAAAAAGAAGATTTAGCGCTAAAAGTAAAGAGAGGTTTAGAAGAAGTAAAAGAAGTTGATGATGATGTTGATGATGACGATGAAGTACATGAAGAAGGAAAAAAGATTTAGAAGATTTAAAAGATTGCGATGATGACGATGATGATGATGATGATGATGATGTACATGAAGAAGATATAGAAGGAGATTTAGACGAAAAAGAAGTAGATGATGATTATGATGATGATGAAGAAAAAGAAGCAGAAAAGATTTTATCAGAAGAATAAAAAGAAGAAGAAGAGGAAGATTTAGAATAAGAAGAAGCAGCAGCAGAAGAAGAAGAAGAAGAAGAAGAAGAAGAAGAAGAAAAAGAAGACTTAGAAAAAGACAAATAATAATAAAAAGAATTATTAATGCTGAGACTACGACTTTGTATTATAACGACATCGACAACGCAGAGTGATGGTTGCAATGTCTATTTTCCACCAAATGCTAGACAGATGTCAATTTTCGCAGCTTACAAGGTGGCATTTTTCTTACAAATTTGATTTTCACTTACATTTAAATTCACAACGTTTTCTAAAACAGAGTTATTGCTATTGATGTAGCTCTGCTCAATTTGTTATATGTGCCCAAATGCATTATGGGTATGAAAACTACTTGAATAGACACAGTAGCCCATCTTAATACATGAAGCTAATCATGTGACATTTTTTTCCTTTATTTCTTTGTATCTAATATAACGATTTGAAGATGAGAATGTGTTTATCTTAATCCTCTCTTTACAATCAAGATTGGACGGGGAATATATAAATAAATAAATAAATAAACATTGATAAACATTATATGGTTTTTGGTTTTTATATATATATATATATATATATATATATATATATATATATATCAGGAAAATCTATCACATAGTGTTTTTTTTATTTCGGGTGACTTCATCCGAATATTGTGAGATTTACGTAGATTTGATTATACATGCGAATGAATGAGAGTAAACCATGAAACTTTTCTTTTTCATTTTTAAGACAAATTTATATATTGCTTTCCCATATATATATATATATATATATATATATATATATATATATTATAACATGTACTTAATATATTTGTGTTTTCTACTAATATGTTCCTAATGGAATCGGGTAAATCTGTGTGTGCGTTTAAATGGGTTCTCATGGAGCTGTGATCAGATACGTGTAACGTAAGACGTCTGGATAAGCATGTGGTTGTGTAGCCGATGTAATTATTTATGAGTCCGGTTTGATCAAGAACACTGTTCCTTAAGAGGCATTTGAACTCATAGATAATGTTCGTTCTTTGTAATTTTGACATAGTTGGTGTGTTGTTATTTTTGAGGATAAAGTTGGCTGTCTTAAATTTTTTATAATAGATAATAAATTTGATTTTTTATTCGGATCAATAGGAGTAGTATATTTCTTTATAATATGCCTTAGAGAAGATTCGTCTTGTTTGTTATTAATATGCATTTGGTTTTTGTAATAAATGTGTATGTCATTTTTGCCTGTGTGTTCGCAATCGTTATTACTTGCTTTGGGGAGGAATAGTCTAATTTGTTGGTCTATAAGGTGGTTAGGGAAGCCGTTGTTGATTAGTGTTTGTTTAACATTATTAAGTTCTTTGAGGAAGAGTAGTCGAGAAGATGAGTTCAGGTGTGCTCTATTTAGAAAGTTTTTATTACTGCTATTTTGTACCTAAGTGGACATTCGCTTTTGAAGTTAAGGTGGCACGAGTTTTTGCTGGTGGTTTTTTTTTTGTATAATGATGTAATGAAAGTGTTATTGCTGTATTCAACGAGGACATCTAAGAATGGAAGTTTGTTTTTGGCTAAGTTCATACGTAAAGTTAAGGACAGATTTTTTCTCAAATGTGGTCTTAAGAGTCTGTATTTCTTTAATGTTATTAGCTAAAATAAAAATATCGTCTGCGTAGCGAACGTAGATTTTTGGTTTGCGGACCTGTGTAAATATAGGATTTTCTACGTAGGACATGTAATAGTTACACCTATCTGATCACAGCTCCATTAGAACCCAGTTAAACACACGCACACAAATTTACCTCCAGCTGGCAGACAAAAATAAAGCAGGTTGTAACTTAATACATATCCTGCAAACTGAGAAATCATGCTAGTATTTATATAGTAATACTTCCACTCAGGTACCAGCAGCCAATCAGAGCCCAAGCAATGGACTATCCCACTTTAGCATAATGAGATGCTCCATTGCACCATAAATAGCTCTGTCTCTATGTTGAATTAGTTCTTCACTCAGCTTGCTTTTGAGTCATTACTTGTCAATTTTGGACCCCTGCTGACATTTCCACGTTTTTTGTGTGATTGTACCTGTTGCCCGTTTGAACTGCTTTTTTGTTTAAAGTTTGTCGATTTTATTTGTACATTTACGACCTTATTGTAAAAGTTTTTGATTTTTTCTTTCTACTCTCCATTTTTTTTTCTCTCCCTCCCCTTTAATTTTTTTTACCTTTTATTCTGTTTATTCTAGTTTTCCTATTTTAATTTTTACTCCCTTTAATTTTTACTCGTTTTCCTTTTTAATCTAATTTGCTTTTTTTTGAATTTCGTTTTTTTTTTTTTCTCCTGTAATTTCCGCAGTTATTTCTTCTCATTTCTACCCTTTTTAATTCTAGTTTTCGTGTTAATTGTCATTTTCTTTATTTTCGTCCTGTTCGTTATTCTGTGTTTTGTTGTAATTTCTTATTAATTTATTTATTTGTTTTCATCCTTTTTAATTTTTTACGTAATCGTTTTAATCTATTTTCTTTTTGTTTATTGGTTCGACTCGCTTAGGGTCGGCCATTTTTTTTTTTTGTGTCTAGCTTCGTCTGTCTTCGTTACGTATTTTTTTTTTGTTTATTGACGTCGGCCATTTTTTGTAACTAGCTTTGTGTTATTGTTTCGTAATTTTTGTTGACGTCGGCCATTTTGATTTTATTTTAGCTTCGGCTTTTGTCGAAGTTTTTTCTTTTTTTTTTATTGTCTAACGTTTTTATTTTTATTGTTTGTCTTTTTATTGTTTCGCCTTTAGGCGATATTTATATACGTTTAAGTGAACCGTGTTCCCTTAATGTAATTGTTTTTTGGTGTGCATAATTATTTTGTTGAGTTTGTTTAGTTAATTTATTTCTTTTCCTCTCGCCCATAAATTTTCCCACCCCTCCCCTTCCCCTCCCCTTCGCTGTTTAAAAAAATGGATAAGAAGGATAAAAAAGTGCCTTCATTCCTTATTGTTAAAAAGAAGCCTAAAATTGCTTCTTTCAAAAGAAATATGAGGAAACACCTCTTTAATCCCAAAAAAGACCCCCCGGACAAAAATAATATGGAGGAATACCCGGACCTGCCCAGAGTTCCTACAAATGAGGAAATTGTAGACACTTTAAGAAAAGCCTCCGAAAATATGGAGGCTGAAAAAAGAAATGTCAATGAAGAAGAAAAGGACAACGCATCTACGAATGCAGAGGCCGGGGAATCGCCCTCTTGTTGGTCGTCCCCACCGAAATGTATCATCAATCTTGCGGAGTTCTTGGAGCGTGCTAAGAGTTACGCTCACCTCGTCGTAGAAGGTGGACTCTTAGAAGACCCCCAGGAATTGAAGAAGATTGAGAAACGAATTGTGTCAGTTTTCGTCGTCGACAAGCGTACGCGCAAAATTTGTCGTTCGACGAAAAACATAGTGTTAAAATCACTAGAGTCCTTGGGGTTTAAGCCCCTAAGAATAGTTAAGGGCGCAAAGTTTTTCATGTGGGACGTACTGTTACCCACAGCAGAAGATTGCGTAGCTGCGGCGAGCCGGGAGCTAATCACAAAAAGACCTTATCCTGCGCACGGAGTACGAAGGCCGCAGAAGGACCAGGGTAACAGTATATGAGGTCCCTCCTCAGGTTATCGGTGAGCATCTCGCGGCTTACTTTACCCAGTACGGCGAAATTCTGGGCGCCTCATGTGATAGCCTGAGCGGGGGTGGAGCTTTGACATCATGTTGGATGAGAAAGCCTTCCGCTCCATCCCCAACTGTCTGGATGTTGGAGGCTTGAAATTGCCGGTCATAGTAACAGGCCGAAGACCGGTATGCTGGAGGTGTGGGTGACTGGTCATCTCTCCTCCTCCTGCCCAGAGAAGAAGGCCTCTGGTGGTCAAGCTCCAGTCAACCAAGATCCCCCTCTGACCGCGTCTGTAACTTCCGCCTCGCCTGTAATGGGCGTA